TACATCACCAAAACAGTCTCACCCGATAAATAAGTGGCGTAGGCCGCAAACACATGTCGCCGAATCACCGTCGTCTACAGATTGAATGGAAGGAAGCAGAAGTGAACCTGTTCCTTGTTGTGCACTTGCAGCAAGTTTCAACGGATCTATTGAGAGATGGAACTGCGGGGGTTGGCGTTTTCGAAGTCAAGCGGAACCACATGAGCAGATTCCCGGAGCAGGCGATCGCAGCTGCCGTGCCGGTCATATCGGCAGCCATGGTGTGCAGATGGACGCTGCGGAGCCAACTGCCGTCTACTCCTTCTTCAAGACGAAACAACCATCACACAGCTGCTACACACGTACACTGCTTGGTGGCTGGCAATCTGTTCCGTGCTAGCTCATGGCAGAAGCAACCGTCTGTGGTACAGCAGTAGTAGCCTGCACCCGGTAATTGTTTCTGTACACACGCCACTACCTTCGACGCAGCGTCGACTGAAGTATTGCTGACCCTGCTTTAATGGACCGCTGCGTTGACTCTGCTTCAACAACGAGAACCACAGTACTATGCACCGTGACTCACGATTTCGTCCGCATACGCCCACGACCCCACCTCTCTTCCACACCCCATACGCAAAATGAAATGCAACAGGTATTGACGGCCCTCCAGATATTAGGCAGGGGCAACTGCTTCGACGACATCTGTCAACTGTCTTTGATGAGCAAGCCGATGGCGGCGGCTACGTTCCACAAGTTCTGCAAGCACTTTGCGCAGGAGCTGTTCGAGGAGCACATATACCTTCCTACCGGATCGTACCAGGATGTGTCATGTGCATGTACGACAAGCTGGGGATGACGGGGGCCATCGGATCTACCGACGTGACCCACATCGGATGGGGCATGTGCCCGTTCACCCTTGGCCGTTCTTATACGGGCAAGGAAGCCCGACCATCGCCTACCAAGTGACAGTCAACCACGCGGGTCGAGCCATAGCGATCACCAGCGGTTTCACCGGAGAAACTAATCACAAGACCATCATCCGCTACGACGCAGGTGTCCACACCGTCAAGACGGATGCCCAGTACACGAAGCGCACGTACAAGCTCCGGAGGGCGGATGGAACATTTCGGGAGCGCAAGGGGTGCTACCTAATCGTTGACAACGGGTACCACGAGGTAAATTCACTTGGCCATCCTAATAGAATGAGAGAGGATAATCCCCTGGCGGGAAACACTCGAGCAGGGTTACTGTAGTTCAACCGTAGGCAGACCCAGTTCACTTTGTCGTTTGTCTGCCTTAGAGAGCGTTGTTTCCGGCGCCAACCAAACATGAAACTCTCCTTCCGCTTACGCCTACTTGATGCCGGGAAATGGGGACAACGTGGATGCCACAACGTAACACATCACACATCGATGGTGTGTGTAGAAGTCGGGCAAGTTATGAAGTCACGCTGCAGATTTTTCTGTCGACGCATGCTCAAGTAATGTACACACGGCCGCGCCGGATTCGGCACGTTTGATCGTTTGGATGCGTAGATGGCCACAAGCAGATTGGTGTTCACAGGTCGAAGAACGACTCATTCAACCCGCACCAGGCAGGCGGTTCTTTCAGCCAATAGTGACCTCGCCCGCAGTGCCAAGCTATGGTGTGGATCATGCGTTGCCCGCATGATATTCATGTATTGTAGTCAAT